GACTTCAGCATGTTGTAGCACATAAAGTTAGCTAGCGTGCATAGAAATTCCATCGTCTTTCGCAGTTGAGAAGTTTCTAATTTATTGCTATAAATTGGCGCAATTAATTTTGGGACACCCTGTATAATGGCAATTAGATTTTCCAGACCCGACCTCCTCAAGCACTTCCTTATGGAAGTGCTAACCTCATCAGAGACGAATGGTACTATGAACGGAATTTTGCCGTCCAGTAGGGTACCACGGGGTCTGTTGTTAGTGACCGCATTTCGTCTCCTGTGGGAGGTCGAAGGATGTACATAGCCATTGAGCGCAGCTATTTCGTGTGCCATCTTCACTGATTCTTTTCGCTCATTCTCTCCACTGCAGACACTGGCTGCTGTACGGAACATATTCCTTACAACGGCCCGCTTAGTCTGGAAAGGATGAGCCGAGTGGCAATGCACGATGATATTCTTATTGCTGGGCTTCCTGTACCATTTCGTTGAAAGCATTCCGCTGTGCAGCCTCACTTGTACATTCAGAAATGGGAGCCAGCTCCCAGAGGGTCGTTCTCGTGTCAGTCGGATGTGCTCGGATTGAGTGTTAAGTAGGTCAAAACACATGTCCATCTGTTCTTGCGTCGAGCAAACTACGAAGCAGTCATCAATATAGCGGCAGTAGAGCATGGGGCGGTGTTCCAAAACTGGCGCTTCAATTTTGGACATAAAGGCTATGGCCAGAATTGGCGCCAGACGTTGCCCCATAGCTAAGCCTCTGATCTGCTCGAAATACTCTCCCGACCACCTGAAGATGTTGCAACTAAGACATTCTTTTAACAATGACATCACTTGATCAATAGAGAATCCATGCATGTTGATCATGCTTTGATACTGCGATGGGCGGGGTCGCGCCGCCTCAAATGGTCGGTGCGACCCCGCCCATCGCGCCAAACGACATACACCCCTATCTATGCAGCTTTCCCTCGCTCTTTCGCATTAAATACATATTCCTTCGAACCACGACTTTTCATTCGTACCAGGTTTATAAAACCCAGTCTCCTGCACCCATCCTGGTTATAGTTGTAGTTTAACCCGAAGGCTCGGATCAATATCTTTCTAGTGAAGCTGTTTTGAGAAGCATATAGTTTCCTGTATTAACTTCGTGATTTTGTTAGATAGCTTGAAATTTTTGAAGAAAATACTAGTCTCGTATCCTAATATCGGGCGAACGTAAGTTTTGTAGCCTTGAGTAAAACTCATGGATCCTCAGTGAGCAGACTTCTAAGGAGTAAGTGAAGCCGCCGCTCCGCCTTAGTCGATGAAGACGAACAGTGCTGTATCAGATTACAGGTTTATGACTCCTATAACTGATAGCGTAGCGGAACGTGAGTTCATGAGTGGGTACACAGAACACAGGGTATATACATATGTTATTACTTATATATTAGATTATATGATGATGGGTGAAGAGGGAGGCCAGGACAAGTCGGCCAGCGCCGATACGATGGGCGCTACTCGCGAGGCTAGGCGAGTGAGAGAACAGCAGCGGCAGAGCAGCCCGGTGGTCGGTAGACGGCTTCTTTTATAGTGGTCCCGTGGAACGTCGCACCGCGTGATTGATGAGCGTCCTCGACCAGACGGTCTGGTGGTGAGGATACGACATCTCCATTCCTTACAGTAAGCTCTCCTCGAGTTTTGTTGGATCGTTTGAGGGCTCGCTACACCTCTGAGTAGGAGGCTCGTCTTCGAGCTGAAAGTAAAATTAGGTGCAAGATAAACAAATAACAAAGTGTTGTCTACCATGTGGCTAACTTACTAAATGTTTGAATATGTTAGAATACGTACTGAATATTTGACTACATTGTAAAAATTTTAATTCTAATTTAATCCTCTAATTTTCACTCTTACATTTGAATTATAATTAATGTCTATTTTTTCCAGAATATCTGAAGCAAAGAAATGGAACAATGAGGACTCTTCGACTTCTCCCTTAAACGCACTGATGAACCATACTCCAGTGTTTCCGAGCCCAGCTTATCCGAAGGATGCTATTCTGATGACGACAACGTCGCTACTTGGGGAAAGGTGAGCTTTTTTAAGGTAGAAATTATTCGTATTTCAAGTAATATACATTTTCAGCGCCGGTGTCCTAATTGTCTGAATGGCGGAGAGTACCAAAACCAGATATACGATGTTGAGTTCGCAATTCATGCAGCTCAGCAGGATGCACTCACATACGCTGAACAGTACAGACAGGCTCACGAGAGAGCTGAGGAACGACTGAGTACTAGAGACGGAAATAAAACGTCTTCTTTGTCGCTTCAGAGTGAGTATAATTGTTCTCGTATTAGTTTTCTATTAAGTAATTTTGAGTATTTCAGGAAGTATCGGCTCGGCAAGACCAAGCCAGCCGACTTCAGGTCGGTATACTGCATGGACGACAACCCCAAACCTTCGTCAAGCATCCGGAGGGAAAGAATCGCCTCGTCAGGAATGAGAGCAGTCCTCAAAATTTAATTACTTGGCTCACCCTTTGGGTTATCCTCCGTAATCCCTTTTGGGAAAGACATGTAGGTAATACTGGACATTTTCGCCATTTCCGGTGGAAAATGGGTCATTTTAGCCTTCTTTCTGATGTTCACATTGGTATTATGTCTCCACTTTCCTGCAGTAGATTGGCATCGTGTTTTTGACTCTATTGAGAGCATTGATGAATGCTACTTCGTTTTCGCAGATTTTTGCCATTCCCTTATTTCTAGATTTATCCCAGTCTTAGGGGGTGCTAAACGAGCCTTTCACCTTCCTCGCAACTTACAAGTGGTGGAGGATCCAGTTCGAAAGTTAGTCAGAGGTGATAAGCATTCACACAACCCACGTTACCTTTATCTCTCACGCCTGCTTAAGAAGAAATTGGCGAAACTCAATCTCGAATATGAAGAATACACTGCTCCTTCTAAAAATGTGAAAGGTTCGGTTCTAGGATTATTGCAACGCCAGACTGGAGGAATATTCTTCTATTGATACTATCACAAACTTTACGGGATCTGTGTGTCTTTTTGGATACGGGAGAGCTTATGTTTTTTGCCGAGTATCTCCATTTACAAAAAGCTCCTAGATATTCCTACTCCGTGCGATGTAACTAAACCTCAGAAAACACTAGACTGGTGGATCCTCACTACGAAAATGTTTTTCGCACCCTGAAGAGGCTTCCTCTTTGGTGTTCCGCGTCGCCTGATGTTCTACCTTACATTTTTTTCAATAAAGCTGCAGAAGGTATTACATCGGCCCTCACACATCTTTTCAAAAGAGTATTTCTGGAAGGAACAGTACCTGCGATCTGGCGATTGGGCTTTATGAGGCCAACACATAAGAGAGGGAGTAAAAGTGATTTTAGAAGTTAGGCTTGTGTTTCTCACCTCCTCAGTGGGTAAGATAATGAAAAGAATAGTGTGTGAGAGGATAAGAGGCTTTCTCATATCTAACCAGCTTCTATCTCGTTGTCAACACGGATTCCTCCCAAGGAAGTCCACCGCCTCTGCACTTCATTCCACTATTCCTTCATGGAAGTACGTCATGGACAAAAAGAGATCTGTCATCGCCGCATACATTGATTTTTCCTAGGCATTTGATTCTATCCCTTTACATCTCTTGATGTTTAAGCTAAAGCAGAATTGAATAACGGGGTCTCTCCTAGAGTTTCTTGAATCGTTCCTTCCTGATAGTGTCAAAGGGTCGCC